CCCGTCCCCAGGCCTGACTGTTTTCCCGCGTGTCTCTTCCCGCCCACAGATCGCAAGGAGATTCTACAGCTGTTCACCACCGCCAGCCCCAACCTCTCCCTGGTCACCGACTGCATGGAGCACGCCCTGACGGCCCGCCACCCCCGCACCCGCTACTCCGGGGGCTGGGACGCCCAATTCTACTACATCCCGGTCTCCTACTTGCCAACCTCGTGGCAAGATTTCCTGGCCACCCGCCAGCAGCCCAAGCCAGCCCACGGCATCTAGGGGGCGTCGGCCGGGAAGACGTCCACGAGGGGAGGGGGCAGGATACTATGCTTGAAACTTGCGTGGCGCTAGCATGCTGGAATCAGCTGTGAAAGGACTTAATTCCCTGGCTTCAATGAGGTGCTGCCATGTGAAGGGGGCTTCCCGGAGGTGGCAGCAAATCGCAGGGTAACGTACCAGCTTCTGAGCTGCGGCATGTGATGGGCTTGGTCATAAAGATCCCCTGGAGACTGTCCCTGCATGTGCTGGAAGTACCCCTTAGCCTGGCTACCAGCCCGCAGGGGCGACCCCTCCCCTCTCTGTCCTGCACAGAGATGGGGGGCAGAACCCACAGCAGAGGCTCAGCCATGCCCAGCGGGACCAAAACTGCAGCTAAATCCATCTGGCCCTGGATAAAGCTTACACAGCGCACCGCTCATAGGCTACGTCCATGCCTCTGCCGGCAGAGGCTTGTAAATTAGACTACCCGACATAGCCAATGAAGCAGGGATTTAAATATCCCCCGCTTCATTTAAATAAAAATGGCCGCCGCGCTGTGCCCGCTCCGCTGATGGTCGGCACAACGCGGCAGTCAAGACGCGGATCGGTCGCAAGGAAAGCCTTTGCCGACCGATCCCTTGTGCCTCATGAAACGAGGTTTACAGGCTCGGTCGGCAAAGGCGTTCCTACCCCCCACTTCATTAAAATAAAAATGGCTGCCACGCTGTGCCAGCTCAGCTGATCGTCAGCACAACGTGGCAGTCAAGACGTGTATCGGTCGATGAGGAAAGCCTTTGCTGACCAATCCCTTATGCCTCATGAAACGAGGTTTACAGGATCGGTCGGCAAAGGCTTTCCTTGCTGACCGATCCGCGTCTTGACTGCCGCGTTGTGCCGACGATCAGCGGAGCCAGCACAGCGCAGCGGCCATATTTATTTTAATGAAGCCGGGGATATTTAAATCCCTGCTTCCTTGACTATGTCGGGTAGTCTAATTTACATGCCTCTGCCGGCAGAGGCATGTAGTCTAGACATACCCATACTGTGCACCTGCTTCCTTACATCCAGCGAGCCCTGTTACAGTGACAGACACTGGGTTTATTAATAAACAAGAGTATACAAAGCAGGGTGAAAGTGGCTATAAGCAGCAGCACACTGGGCAAAGTAAGTTACTCAGCAAAATAAAACAAAACGCACCAGCTCCGCTCACCACTCTAAGACACCGGTTACATGGACTGTTTCTCCTGAGTTCAGTGTCTTTCGCAGACTGGGAAGCCTCCCCGATCCTTCCCGGTGTTCAGTCTTAGAGGGTTCCAGCAGGCATCTTGGGTTGTCAGCAGGGGTGTCCTACATCTGGCAGCTGCCCCGATTGTTTGGCTTCCTGCCTTTATAGAGATTTTGCACAAGGCGGGAATCCGTGGTGGTGATGTTGAACTTTTCTCACTTTCAGTGGGAAAGTGCAGTGCCCAAGAGGGGTCCCAGGCAATGTTCCCCTTTCCTGTGCGGTATAAATGTTGATCCGTGCACCGAGGCATGTGCAGATGCGCACCACCTGCAGAAACACCGGCTGCCGGTCGCTGTGGGCTCTCTGCTAATCAGTTGGGCGGCACCAGAATCACCCCTGGGTGTCTGCCCAAGCAAACAGCTTCCAGGCTGCCGTGGAGAATGTCCTTGGAGGACTCTCGGCCCCTGGGAGGGACAGGGCCAGAGGAAAACCAGCCCTATTTACCGATCTGTGACGTTCTCAAGGAGCCGTCAAGCTTCTGGGAGGCCCCTCCCAGCCCTCATCCTGCATGTCTACAGCAATAGCACAGGCTGAGGGTTCGCTAGGGGGCTGCACCCCTCACTGTGCTTGGCAGCCCCCCTCCTGCGGGGGTAGACAACCTGGCTCTCCCCCCAGCCACCAGGGAGAGCCGGGCTGCGGCCACGCCACCCCGGGCCCTTTCTCCCTCCACCCCGTGCCAGCCTGGGCCCCTTCTCCTACTCCCCACTGCACTAGCCCAGTCCCCCATTTTCCCTCCTCCTTTCTGCCCCTAAGGTTAAGCGCTGACCCAGGTTACCAAGGAAGCTTGGCGATGGGTATATATGTGTGTGTGTGTGTGTGTGTAGGGGGGTATGTGTGTAGGTGTGTGTGTGTGTAGGGGTGTGTGTTTGTGTGTGTGTATAGGTGTGTGTGTGTAATTGTGTGTGTGTAGCTGCATGGGATGTAGGTGTGTGTGTGTGTAGGGGTGTCTGAGTGTAGGGGTGTGTGTGTGTAGGGGTGTCGCTGTGTGTGTGTGTGTAGAGGTGGGTGTTTTGTGTGTGTGTGTGTGTAGGTACATGGGATGTAGAGGTGTGTGTGTGTGTGTGTGTGTTAGTGTTTGTAGGGGTGCGTGTGTGTGTGTGTAGGGGTGTCTCTCTGTGTGTGTAGGGGTGTGTGTTTTGTGTTTGTGTGTGTAGGTACATGGGATGTAGAGGTGTGTGTGTGTGTGTTAGTGTGTGTAGGGGTGCTTGTGTGTGTGTAGGGGTGTGTGTTGTGTGTGTAGGGGTGTGTGTTTTGTGTTTGTGTGTGTAGGTACATGGGATGTAGAGGTGTGTGTGTGTGTGTTAGTGTTTGTAGGGGTGCGTGTGTGTGTAGGGGTGTCTCTCTGTGTGTGTAGGGGTGTGTGTTTTGTGTTTGTGTGTGTAGGTACATGGGATGTAGAGGTGTGTGTGTGTGTGTTAGTGTTTGTAGGGGTGCGTGTGTGTGTAGGGGTGTCTCTCTGTGTGTGTAGGGGTGTGTGTTTTGTGTTTGTGTGTGTAGGTACATGGGATGTAGAGGTGTGTGTGTGTGTGTTAGTGTGTGTAGGGGTGTGTGTTGTGTGTGCAGGGGGGTGTGTGCGTCAGGGGGGCGGCTCCCTGCCCTGAGCGGTTTCTAAGACCAGGTAGGGCCCACCCCTCCCAGGTAGTCCCTTGGCGCCGCCCCCGCCCGGGGTCTCACTAATTCGCAGGGTTCCAGGCACCTCCGTGCATGTCCCTGGGGCTGGCTCGTGTCTAACCAGCAAGCAGCCCGAGTCGAGCGCCCCAGGACTCCCGGCCGGCGCCTGTCTCTGGGGCACAGACCCAAGGCGTGCCGGGCGGCAATGGGGCGGAGCAGAGCAGGCTGCTGGGGTAAGTGTGGGGAGGGGGGTGAGTTTCTGCTGTTGCCCCCAGCAGCCCCCTTGGGATTCCCCAGCTAGAATTGCTCAGGCGAGGGGGCAGGGAGCTTGGGGGAAGCGTGGAGAGGGGGCGGGGTCTGTAGGGGAGAGTTGCCCTTGGCCCCGCACTTGGGACG